TTGACTAAGTACGGTTATCTTGCTATATTTATTTATTTATCGAACAGCGTTGTTTGTCACATCTACTTGACATAACGTTCGCGCGGGAAGAGATAAAATTGTAAAATATCTCTTTCTAGTATTCATAATAAATAATGTTAGATTCAAAAGAAAATCTAACAACATACTTAGTATAAATATTTGATTTCAATATTTTGCAATACAAATTGCTATAAAAGAGCTAGTTAATAATTCCTAATATTAATTTGTAAATCACTTATGCACAAAGAACAATGGATGTACTAGTATTAAAATTTTAAATATTCATTTATGCATATTTATAATTCCAATAAGAAATTATTAAGTACATATAATTACGAAACAATAGATTTGAATTAGTAAATTCACGTTAGTATTTCACTTCTAATTAGATTTTTTTAATGAAATTCAAAATAGTATTCTTATTCCTAGAATATTTTGTTAATGAACTTTGAACTTTACTTTTTTTTTTAATAACAGCTAATTGCCATAATATTATTTTAAAAAAGTGAATTTTCTTACCTCATAGAATAACCATGCACTGAAGAGTACTTGTAAGAAGTTGTATACTATTAGAACATTTTTTAATTCAAATGGTTTTCTATTTTCCATAAACCGGGGCCCTAAAACCTGAAAATTAAACATATTTGCATTATATTCATTTGTATTTAAGTAAAGATACATATATTTTTTATAAACACCTAAAAATTAAGATAAATGTCCAGATCAATATAATGTTTTACCAAAGCATAATATTTTAATGAATAAAAGGAATATTTTCAGTTTGAATTGTAATCAAGTGCGAGTTTCTTTACGTTAAAATGTGTTAACTTCTATATTACCCATTGTAAGATATTCCACATTTAAAAATGGAATTAAATAAAACATAAATTGTATTTCTCTGACATTACCAAAAGCTAAAATATAATGTTAAATGGATTATTTATTTCTTTTAACTCCTCATTCTATTACTTCAGACACAGCATGGACTACAGGACTAGTTTTTAACTAATGCTGCATCCATAAAATACATAACACTTGTATAAGTTCGGTTCAGTTTCTTGTCTATGGCACTCCCTTAGCGGATTGGGCCAGACACTTGTATAAACATAATATAAAAGTATATAAACATGTGTTACCTTGACTAGATAAACATAACTTAGACATATTAAAAATGTAGGGATTGGAGAGCTCATCAGGAACCATTGATTCGTCCGAGGGTCTGTAAAAAATAAAAAAAAATACTGTAAATTATTTTATGTACCAAATGAAATGAGATCTCAGTTATTACACTTACACAATAATTTTAAAGCAGTTTCATTATTTAAAGAAAATATATCAAAGGCTATATTTAAATAGGTGGCAATTTTGGAAGGTTTTTTTTAGTAATACCATAATAACTTTTATTTAAGTTTTGTATAATATTGTGGTTATATTAAATTAGCTTAATATGACACCTTTGTAGACATGTTTCAATATAGCCAGATATTTATTTATATTTAAACTCACCTCCATATTTGTCCATAAAGCCTTGCATATCATTTATATACTGTAGTATTAGCGCCATCACGATATCTGAAAAAGAAAATATATCCTTCAATGTGAAAATCCTTCAATATATCCGTCAAAGGCGGGATGAGATAACAGAGATACGGCACCGTCTTTATTGAATAATACTGGAATACTGTATGGGTTCTAAGAATATTTTAATACATGTTTCGGTAATTAACATTACTTTTATATTACTGACGAGAATAACTAATGTCATCTAATTTTATTCATGAAATATCGGTCATAAAACGAAAAATATCGTGTGACTAGTGAAGTGAATATGTCATCCTAAATGTCATCTTTAAAAAAAAAACTATAATTCAACCACAGACTACATAACAGTGGGTCGGTGTCTGATACCACGATAGATGGCGCAATATCGTAGTAGCCCAATGTCAAGCGATGAGCTAAAAATCGACTTTGACCTAGTTGTACAACAAAATATGCAGGCCTTAATTAGTGGTCAAAACGAAGTTTGAATGTAAGTAGAGTAGTCACATATATTTATATATCTTAGTAATTATTTTAAAAGGTAGATATATATTGCGATAACATTTCTAACATTTTCCTTTTGAATTCGAATGAGAAAAATCGATTTTCCTAATATCTAACCGATTGAGTTCCTTGCCTACTTATTTTTAAATGTATAGAACCACAACTGTAATTGGCCCCGTGAGAGAGGTGCAGCCATCGCTGCTAGTTCTGCCAAAAAATTAGCACACCTGCCTATACCTATTAGACAAAAGGTGGAAGTATTTTCACCGCCGGTATCCTGGGTGGTCATAGCATTGTACTAGTCCAGCGGGCTATTTGTGTAGCAGCTAATTTTGCTGCAAAGTCTACCATTGTCACGAAACTAGCTGCGTTATTTTTAGGGTGTTTTTATATATTATGTCGAAAAATCGTAATGTAATAAATAGATTAATCAATTTAATTTAACTATTACCAGAGAACTGTACAGACAAGGTTCCATAGAATGGTTTACAACTTCGTATTTCTCATTGGTCATTTACTTAATTGCTGATTGTTTTCCACGTTTCCACGGATCCTACGTTGATTAACGGAATTACCAAGGAGTTAAATTTTTTTAATAACAAGTTATACTAGATGTTATTTTCATTTTATAGAGAGATTATTATATTTATAGCATAAAGTATTTTAATTTCTGATACTAAACTTAATAATAGTTGTTATATATAAATGTCAGGGTTGTCGATATAGATAGTTTATTTGTTTTTCTATAATATTTGCAGTCCTATATAAACAAGGGGTAATTGGAAAGGTATAGAAATAAAATATAATGCAAATGGATTGACCTATTTTTAATAATCGAACGACTATATTGATAAGTTAAATCTAAATGAGTTGCAGTAAAACCGATATTGCTGCGATAAAAATGAAGAATATAAGATAAGGCAAGTAGATAAAAAGTAAACTATAGTCTGGGCATAATTTCGCAGTCAGCAACGTAATGATGTACAAAGAGTTCAAAGAAATTTTTTTTACATTAAAACTTAAGAATACCAGTGAATAAATAATTAGATCAACATTATCTATGTCCAAGTTACAAGGGTGTCAAAAGTGCAATGAACTGTTTTAAAAAAAGAATGTTTCAGCCCTGCTCGCCTCGGCTGTTTATATTCATAATATAAAAAACGAAGCATCAAAATACTATATTTCATTCGGGCTATAATACTTGGTTAATATTTACCTGCTGGGTGCTTTCTTCTAATGCATCAAGCGCGCCTGACCCTGGTATTTTTTAAATTTCGAGATAATTGATATCTTATCTCCGGATATAGTCAAGATACTCTAACCGATGTTATTATCAGTTTTAATTTTTCGGCGGCATTACTTTCTCTGCAGATACTCGTTATAAAAAAAAAACTAGTTACTCTGTTTATTTATATTCTGTATTCAGACTCTGTAACACTACGTGATTTTTAACACTTTAATAAATGCAGTTATGAGAATAACTTTTCACACGTCTCGCTAGTCAGCAAGAAAAAAAACATCAATCGTTATCGTCCCTTATCGGTTTATTTATGAATCATTAGTAAGATTAGTCACATCACGCCCATTGATATCTGATAAAATAGATTCAATTTAAGATTACGTCGGTAAGTCCTAATATTAAAATCTGAATTGTGATTAATTACTTACCTATCACGAATAGCTACATTTTCTTACGATGCACACAATAATGAAAGTTAGGTTACATTTAGATGTATTACCCCTAACTTTTGTATGTATAATACATGTATCAATAAATTATTTAACTATTTTCATACTTCTAATATAGTCAGTGATAGAATTTGATACTATTGTTCAATTGTTGAACGTTAGTCGTATACTCTGCATTCAATTAAAAGTTTTTATTTGCAATACTATTTATTAAAGTGATCTCCGAGCTATTATTTTAATATTACCGTTATGTTAATTATACAGGAAGAGATATAGAAAATAAATAATAACGAAATGTTTTTTCTACTAACGAAAAAGTTTTCATAGCTTTGGCCGAACAAGCAAGGTGTTCATTTCTGCTTAACCGCCGTTCAATAATATCACGTGTTTTTTCACTGATAAGGTGATATCATTCGTTGTAGGCGTACCGTAAGTAGGTCGTGACGTAATCAGAATGTGTACGTATTGCAAAACACAGGTTAGCACGAGAATATACCACCATTGATTGAGATGAGACGCGGTATTCTAGAATTCAGATGACGTTGAAGGGTATATCACGGTGTGTGTTTATGTGCAAGCGAGTGTAATAAGTGCTACGTTATTACACTTCTGTTGTCTTTAGATGCAGCAATTCGCTAAGTGGGTCATTGGCTGCACGTCGAGTTATGTAATGGTGTAGCGCACCGGCGACAACGACGCGAACGAGTCGGTGCGGCGACTCTTTCGATGCAGCTCCGCATTAACACATGCGGGGACATTTTCAAGACTATTGCAAATTCTATATAAAACCAGTTACGGAATTTAGAACATCATGTAGATGTTTTGAAACATAATCGTGTTATTGTTGCACTCCTTACTATGAATATGAAATTGTCATCTTTTATTGTGGTATAACCGTCGAAATCAAGGCTGTTAAAATGGTGTAGAACATAGCAAGTAAATAATTATATTTCATTTGAATTGAGTTATGCCGATGAGTGTTCGTTTAAAGCTATTGTCATAGGCCTTTTGATCCATCTAAGCACATGAATCTTTTGTTTTTAAGCTTGTATATCTAGAAATATTGTTACAAACGCTTCAGGACTATAAGAAGCCGTTTTTCACTTAAAACATTTCTAGTAATAGTTTACAATTATCGGTTGTCAGTGAAAGGGTCCTTTTTATAAGTATCCTATATATATTCACGTAAGGTTTCAAAGTGTTTATCGAGTCGACGTATAAAATTTTATTGTTATCGAAGTGTGAATTTTGCGAAAATTTAACGGGCTCTTAGTAGTTTAAAATGTTTATATTGTCATCGAATCATGTAAACAGACAACGACACCTGGTCGCCTTGTTAGTCGCTTACAAAGGCCGGGACATGTGGTTATAATTACTCTGTGTAAATATACCACAGTAAAATAGATTTAACGCGTCCGTGAGACGAATGTTGCTTTTGCGCTTCATCTTATTCATTAAATTTAAAAACTTCTGAAACTCTAGTATTATAATTTAATTAAGTTAAAAATAAAATATTAAAGTATATAGTAATCAAGCAAGCGTTTCCTGGAAAACAGATAAGAAACATCCGTTAGCTAAAGGCATCGCTAATAAGCAAATTAATTGCAAATATGTTTAAGGATAAAAAGGTAGACGTGAAAAGCAACTGAGAAAAGGATAGATAAGGAAAGAAGTTATAGAAAAGAATTGAGACTAGCAACTAATTAAAACTCTGTATTTGTTTCTTTATTTAAAATGTTAATGCTTTATTTGATAGTTTAAACTGACTTCGAGTTAAAATAGTTTGCGTGGTTGTTGCGGAAATTGGGACAACGCCTAGAGCTATGATAATTTTATGCAGCTGTCGCTTAATATTAGATTTCGTATTCCGCACGTATTGGCTGATAGTTTACTAACGAATATTACTAATGCCAACCAAGGTCGTTGACCTTGCGACGACGTGAAATTATTCTAATTTTATTAGACAAAGTCCATTAGAGGATTGCAAAAAATAAATACCTTCTTTTTACTTATATTTACTTACAGCATAATACGCTTATTTGATTAGTTTAATATCTTTAAGAATAAGAGTCGAATATTTTGGAAATAGACAAGTAAAAATACAGCCATAGACAAGAACACTCGGCAGCCAAGTTAATAAATTGATAACATTGGGTAGTCAATCAATCATAGAAAGAAAATTTTAATAAAATATATGCATAATTTTGAATTGCTTAATAGGTATACCTATTCATACTATTGGTGACATAAGTAGAAATTGTTAATTATTCATTCATATTTTCATTCTGAGATGCTTGCAAAATGTATCGATGAATATTTAAGACATAAGTAAGGAAATTATTTTATGAGGTCTCAACGGAAACATCCATAGCCGGCAATATTTTTTAAACAATCATTAGGTATTTTAACATATTTTTAACCATTGTCTATAAAAAGTTTATTTGACATACTGGCATAGCCGGTTCGTTTGCCCATTGTCTAGCTGTATGATAACACGTCTGTGCTTATTGAAATATGTGATAGAGGAACTCGAAGTCTATGTAGAAAAGGCCATGACACGATATATTTTTGACCAATTGCAATATGATTACGATTGAGCGGCTCGAGCACTCTATGGTTTTTAAATTAGCAGTTGTAATTATATAGCGGGTTTTAATCTTTGCTTACAGTTAATATAATGTGTGATATTTTTGTCATTCATTAAAATTCGAAATCACAATGGAATGTATACACGGCATTAGAGATTGAGTCGAGACCTGTCACGTAAATCATTATTTTTTTTAAATAGTTATGACCTGAATTTCTAATAAGCATAAATTATATTAAAGTTAATAAACTTG